GAGTCAGTCTCACCTTCCTGGAACTTAGTAAGACCAGGTGACAAACCTTTGTTTAAGTTGTTGATCAAAAAGGAACTGGTTTTATTTATTTTTATTTATTTTTATTACTGAAACACCATGAGATAGAGTTGTAGACTTACAAACTTTCATGCTTGGGTTTCAGTTATACAATGATCAAGTACATATCCCTCCACCAGTGCCCATTCTCTACCACCAGTAATCCCAGTAGCCCTCCCAACTCCCCACCCCACCCCCATCCCACCCTGCCTCTGTGACAGGACATTCCCTTTTGGTCTCTCTTTCCTTTAGGGTGTTGTGGTTTGCAGTAGAGATATCGAGTGGCCATCGTGTTTGGTCTATAGTCTACTTTCAGCACACATCTCGCATCCCGAGCGAATCCTCCAAACATCCTTTACTTGGTCTTCCCTTCTCTATCTGAGCTGCCTTTTTCCCCAGCATGTGCTGCTGTCTTCCAAGTCATGGTACTTATCTCAGCTATTCTGGGTGAAGGAACTGGTTTTAAAAGTAGCTGCAGATTTGTTGTTCTCTGCACTGGAATGCGATTGTAATGGGTCATAATTCATAGAGAATTCAGAGAGAATCTTAATTTCCTTGCCGTGGTGGTGAGTGTTGCCGCGCTTCCCAAAAGGGCCCATGTGAATGGTAAAGAACCTTCCATCACTACAGATGTCACAATTCAACATTGGCACATAGACACCATAAATCTAGGGACATTTTGATTTGTAGCACTGTAGCACTGTCCTCCCGTTGTTCATCGAGTTGCTCGAGCGAGCACCAGTAATGTCTCCATTGTGAGATTTGTTGTAACTGTTTTTGGCATATCAAATATGCCACTGGGAGCTTGCCAGGCTCTGCCATGCGGGTGGGATACTCTCGGTAGCTTGCCGGCCTCTTTTTTTTTTTTTTCATTTTGACTTGAGGAGTATTTAAAGTGAGTTCAGGTCATGAAGGATGGAGGTGTCTGTGGGTGTCCATAGTCTATTCAGATCAGGATAGCTGACAGTCCAGGTGCAGAGGACTTCCTTTAAGCATTGAGTCTGGTCAGATATCTACTCAACCGCTGGTGACTGAAGCTGTCGTGACATGATGCCGTCCCCTCTGCTTCCTGCACTGACTAGCACTGTTCCCAGCACTGACCCAGATAATGCCATGCCCAGAGACTTCACATGACATTTTTCAAAGTAATAAATAAAAACACTCCTGAAGTTTATATAGAACAATAAATCCCCACAAATAACTAAAACAATTCTTAGGAAAAAAGAAAGGGGTGGCGTCACCTTCTCCAACATCAAACTGTACTACAAAGCAGTAATAGAAAGAGACCCACAAACCAGTGGAATACAGTTGAATATTCTGACAAAGATTCTCAAGTTTTTGATTGCTTAATCTTTGATAAAGACGCAAGAAATGTGAGGTGGAGCAAAGAAAGCCTCTTCAACAAGTGGTGCCAGGCAAACTGGACAGCAACATGCAAAAAAATGAACTCAGACCACTATCTAATGCCAAGCACAAAAGTCATATCAAAACGGATTAAAGATCTCAGTATCAGACCTGAATCCATAAGGTACATGGAGGAAAATGTAGGCAGAACCCTCCATGACATTGAAGCTAAAGGCATCTTTAAAGATAAGACACTACTGACCAAGCAAATGAAAACAAACATAAACAAATGGAACTATGTTAAACTAAGAAGTTTCTGCACCTCAAAAGAAACAGTGACTAAAATACAAAGAGAGCCCATAGAATGGTGAAAAATTATTTACCCAGTACCCATCAGATACGGGGTTATCCAGGATATGCAAGATACTAGTAGAACTTTACAAAAAGAAAAAAGAAAACAAGCCTCCAACTCCATCAAAAAAAAAAATGCAAGAAATAAGCAGAAACTTCCTAAAAAAAGAAATACAAATGGCCAAAAGGCACATGAAGAAATGCTCCACATTGCTAATTATCAAGTAGATGCAAAACAACAAATCAAAACAATAATGAGCTATCATTTTACACCACAGAAACTAACACACATCAAAAAGAACAAGAACAACCTGGCTGGTACAGATGTTGGGAGAAAGGTACTCTCATTCATTGTTGGTGGGAATGCCAACTGGTCTAGTCTTTTTGGAAACCAATATGGACATTCCTCAAAAAACTATAAACTGAGCTCCCATTTGACCCAGCAATATCACTTATGGGAATATCTGTCACTGTCACTGTCCTCCCATTGTTCATCGATTTGCTCAAGAGGGCACCAGTAACATCTTCATTGTGAGACTTTTTGCTATTGTGTTTGCCATATCAAATACATCACGGGTTGCTTGCCAGGCTTTGCCGTGCGGGCAGAATACTCTCGGTAGTTTGCTGGGCTCTCCGAGATGGGCGGAGGAATTGAACCCAGATCAGCCACATGCAAGGCAAGTGCCTTACCCACTGTGCTATTGCTCTGGCCCGGGAGTATGTCTCGGGGTTGCAAAAAAGCACAGTAGAAATGACACCTGCTCTTCTGTTTATTGCAGCACTGTTCACAATAGCCGGAATCTGGGGGGGGGGGAAAAAAAACCTGAGTGCCCGAGTACAGATGACTGGTTAAAGAAACTTTGGCACATCTACACAATGAAATACTATGCAGCTATTAGAAGAGATGAAGTCATGGAATTTGCATACAGGTGAATGGACATGGAGAGTATCATGCTAAATGAAATGAGTCAGAAAGAGAGGGACAGACAGAATGACTGCACTCATTTGTGGAATATAAAATAACATAATATGAGACTGATGCCCAAGTACAGTAGAGACAGGGCCAGGAAGATCACTCCATGGTTGGAAGCCTGCCTCATGAGCTGGAGGAGAAGGCAGCTGAAATAGAAAAGTGATCGCTTAAGTCAGTGATAGTTGGAGGGATCTCTCGTGATGGGAGATGTGTGCTGAAGGTAGATAAAGGACCAAACAGATGGCCTCTCAGTATCTGTATTGCAAGAGTAAGGAAAAATGTGTCTGCCACAGAGGCAGGGGGTGGACTGTGGTAGGGGTCAGCAGGGATACTGGGGACATTGGTGGTGGAGAATGTATATTGGTGGACGGACAGTGTTCGATCATTGTATGACTGAAACTCAGTCATGAAAGCTTTGTAACTATCTCACAGTGATTTGATAGAATTTTTTTAATAGATCCCTATTCCCTCAGGTGTATTTTTATGTATTAAACGCATTTTAATACAAGGCATTAGTATCAATTCTAACTAACCCTCAACAGAAACCATTGGAAGCATTTTCCAGAAGGGTGAAGGTTTCCTTATCCATCACGATCACCCCTTTCCTCCCTCCTGTCTTTAGCCTGTGTTCCTGCACGGGAATGGTCAGTCTAATGGCAGTTTCCCTCTGCCATATGTGCTTTGCCCTATGTCCAGAACCCTCGCCAGTGTCCGGTGGACAGCTCCGTGCTCACTCCACGCCGGAGAAGTCCCAAGCACAGGGCGCCTGCCCAGAAAGGCTGTGATTGCAGAGATACAGGTTCTGTTACGGGGAAGCCCACGGCACGTTCTGTGTTTGTGCCATGGAGTCAGGTTTCTCAGAGTCCAACCTTGGTTCTCAGCTGTGACACTGCAGACCTTCATCTCACCTCTGGGGTGAAGACAGTACTAATGGGATTTGGGTGAGATTTGAATGTGATAATACATGATTTAAAAAATGAAGTGTTGCCCCCATGTTGTAAACATGAGTCCAGAGCTAGGTGCTACAGAGGTGGGACTCAGGACACACTGTCTGAGAAGACAAGGTGGGGAAGATGGAGAATGCAGACATCATGGTAAGATCCTGGTCAAATCAGGTACACTTTGCTAACTTGTAACAATCCTAGCACAGTCTTTGATTTTCCCTTTTTCATCTGAAATACTTGAGTTCAGGATAGTAAAACAGTATACCTAAGTCTGGCAATTTCTTTTTTCTGTTGCTTTTCGTAAGGAAACATTTTTCTCCAGTAATCTAATAGTACCAGTTCACATTTACTGAACATTCACATGTTCCACGCACAAGTCTTCAAGTCCCATTTTACTACAAACAGGACACGACTCAGACACATGAAACTTTCACAGTCTATAGTTCTCCAAACGCAAATTTAGAGGTAATTTATTTCTACTCAAGGTCTGACTTCCAGATAGTTCTTGGCCCCAATACAGATACTTAGAGACTCATCATGATTCGTAATTTAAATATTGAGACTGTAAGATTTTAAAAGCATTTATTGGACACTTACTGCAGTTTAAGAATGACATTTTGTGCCTCTAAGGGCATCCTCCTGAAGTCCATGGCCTGCTTGCATTGGGGAAATCCTCGGTGAGAGGTTCGCCATTCTACCAGTGGCCTGGCTGGAACCGCACAGAACTGGCAGAGCTGTCAGCACCAGGGCAGTCTGGAAATAGGCCCAGGCGATTGTAGTCAAAGGGGAGATGGTAATTAGTTGATACACCCTGTTTTCTGAGTGGGGCTCTAGAACAGGAAAGGATGTTAGGTAAGAATAGACCATCAGGACAAGGTTACACTTAGCTAATAATGCCATATTCATGTTTCGTGTGATAACTGGAGCACAGTGTGAGGTTGACAGCAGCAGAAGCAATGGGAGGCTGTACCTTTAACAACAGAATAGTAGCTTATACCCAGACCCACTACTGTCTTCACAATTTTCCTGCAGATCTGAAGTTTTTTCAACATAAAAATATTTATTTTTCTAAAGAGCATTAGACTCTTTCATACCTCTGTTGGCTGGCTTATACTCGTCTGTGATGTGTTTCCTTCCATCAGCGATGTGGCTCTGTAAGTGAGGTGACAGGTGTCGAGAGCATAAGGAGGTTTCTTGCTTCCTGCGGCGGGTATGCAAGTGAGCTCCGTGTCACTGAGGAGAAGCATGGGCAAATGCTGTTGTTCAATATTTGGTAGTTTCTCATATTACTATTAATAAAAGCATGTTATATTTCTCTTTTTTTAATCCAGGGAGCAGATTTTAAGAGTAAAAGAAGATGAGAATGTTCCATTTCTGCTGGTGGGTAACAAATCTGATTTAGAAGATAAAAGGCAGGTGTCTGTGGAGGAGGCGAAGAGCCGGGCGGACCAGTGGAACGTGAACTACGTGGAGACATCTGCCAAGACGCGCGCTAACGTCGACAAGGTAAAGGTGCTTCTCGTTGCTCTGCCGCGTGTCCGACAGGACAGCCAGCTTGCTTTGCTTCTCAGCTCAGTGTTCTGTGCACATCTGCAGAGGTGTCCTTGTTGCCACTCTGCCCCAAGTGCCCAGCACAGAGCAGCCAGGGCCTTTCCTTGGGCCTGGGCTCCTGAGAGCCGCTGCACGGGAGACAGCACAGCTCGGTTGCCTGTGGGTGGAGGTGGGAACAGGTGCCCTTTGATTATTGGCGTCTGCGACTGCTGATGCTAAGCCCTGATGGTTCAGCCCAAGGCCTGGCTCCCCGTGCCCTGAGGGCATGCTGGGGAAGTGAGGGCAGCCCTAGCCCAAGGCTCCAGCTCCCCTGCCTGTGTGGAAGCACCCCAAGTGCCCTACCCTCCCTCCCTTCCCACCACCAGCTGTCCCAGGTGCTTCTGGGCAGCCCAGGCCCCAAAGACAGACCCTGAGATGTTGAAGGGCCCTGAGGGTGGGCATGTAGGACTGGCTGCCCCACCGGGTGAGGCCTCATTTCCCAACCCCCTTGGGTGCCAGACTGCCTGTGCCCAGTGGGTCTCCTAGCGTCATGCAGATAGCACCCAAGTGTCTCAGGAGATGGGTTGGAAGGCTCGTGCATCTGGTTTCCAGTGATGCATTGGTGCTGTGTCCTCCTAAGAGGGCCCCATCTGTGGCTGGGGAACAGCAGCCTGTGTACACAGCTATGGCCTCCTTTGCTGACCAGGGTAGCCCTGGGCCCTGAGCACCGTGGCTTGTCAGACGTGAGAACCAGCATCAACAGAGTTTCACTAGGTCAGTCACATGGGAGCAGCTCTGGCCTGAGGTACGGAAACCAGGACCCTCAGCGGTGCCTGACATCCCCGACCACTGCAGCCTGCACCCCAGCCAGCAGACCAAGAAAGAAAATTCAAGAATGTTTTTTCATAAAAGAAAAAAAAAAAGAAAATTCTAACCTATAAAAAAAAAGAGCAATTGTTTTGTTGTTTTATTGTTGTTTTTGTTTGGGGTCACACCTAGCAATGCTCAGGGCTCACTCCTGGCTCTGCACTCAGGATTCACTCCTGGAGGTATTTGAGAGACCACTTGGGGTACCAGGGATTGAACCCTAGTTGTCCATGTGCAAGACAGATGCCCTATTCACTGTGCTATCAGCACTCCCGCCCCCAGGAAAGAGCAGTTTTTCGATGGCATTTTTCAGCTAGTCCTGGATAACATTGTCGCTGTGGAGGGTGCTTCAGCTGCCCGGGATCAGGAGGAGAGCCCAGAGCGCAGGCTTTGCTGGTGGCAGCCCTGGGCTCAGCCCCAGGGTCACACTGTTCCCCGAGTACCACCTGGAGTGTCCTCCCCAAGCAGCGAGCCAGGAGTACCCCCCGAACACCACTGAGTCACAATAATAATGCACTGTAGCACTGTCCTCCCGTTGTTCATCGATTTGCTCGAGCAGGCACCAGTAATGTCACACACAAATTGTGAGACTTGTTGTTACTGTTTGTTGGCATATCGAATACATCACGGGGAGCTTGCCAGGCTTTGCTGTGCAGGTGAGATACTCTTGGTAGCTTGCTGGGCTCTCCAAGAGGGGCGGAGGAATCGAACCAGGGTCAGCTGAGAACAATTTATTTATTCACAATAATAATAATAAAATTTTACCCAGAAACTTCAAGGTCCAAGAACCCATTCCACAAATAAAATCCTCCATCCACACATTCAGTGAGCATAATGTTCAGGGACAGGTGCAGCATTTGTCATGGAAGGAGGAGACTAGAGATGTCCAGGTGCCCGGTAACAAGCTCAACTTTTCTGCACTGTAGTGGGACAGCTCAGGCCAGATATCAGCAGGGAAGGGGGGGGCCGGTGAAGTCGGGCTAGAGGGGCTTAGGATAGGTGGTGGGGAGATGGGGGGCACTTAGGTGGAGTAGAGGTGCAGTAACTATATTTCATCCATAAACATTGACACTATTGTGACCAAGTTCCTGAAGCTAGAAGAAGACACAGAGAAAGTCGAAGGTCTAGCCAGGGTGTAGCTCATGGTAAAGCCCTTGCCTTGCCTATGTGGGCCATGGCCTAGGTCCCTGGCACAGGAGGAAGAGGAACACAGACAGGCCAACTGGGCCAGGGACAGTGAGCAGCGCCAAGTAGTGGAGTTTGCTGTCACCTTTGCTTTAACACACACATGTATGTCAGCATCAGAAGATTATGTATGAGAACTAAGTCATAAGCATATGCTTTTTTTCCCCCCACGGCAGATGCCCTTTCGGATTTCTATATTTGAATTTTTTGCCAACCACATATGTAATATTTCAAAAGCACAGAGTGCAGGTACAGGTACAGGACTAGTTAGTTACTTTGTGCAGTGAATACAAACCTTAGCCTTGCACAGTCACGGTGGAGGTGGACCGTCTCTGCTCAGGTCTGGGGGTGGGAAGCCTCTCGACTGCCAGTCAAAGGCATATTCCCACGAGTGGGGTTCACTTTGACACTGGCTGCTCCCTAGTGTGTTTCAGAATTGCCTCCCCCCTTGCATCTGCCCTGGTCCCTGTGTGCCGAGAATAAGGCATGTGCTGATGTTCGGTTAGCCATTTCTAGTCTCCTGCTCGCAGCCATGGGGGTGCCATGCCTTCGCCCTCTGCACCCTGCTTTCCTGTCAGCGCCTGTGGTGTGCCCTGTGCTTGTGTGGGAAGTCATCAGTCATGGGTAGTGTACATGCTCACAGTGTTCTTGTGTGTGGAGTTCTTGCCTTAAACTGAGGTTTTGCATTCTACGAGTACTACTCTGAACTTTTTCAAATCCAGAAGGCAGTACAGACCGTAAAGTTGTTTACCCATTTACCCTATACACAAATTGTATATGTACACAGTGTGAATTTTTTTAAATTAATTTTTGTTGGGGGGTGCTTTTTGGGCCACACCTGGAGATGCTCAAGGGTTACTCCTGGCTCTGTACTCAGGAATTACTCCTGGCGGTGCTCGGGGGACCATATGAGGAATCGGGGATCAAACCCAGGTTGGCCATATGCAAGGCCCTCCCCACCATGCTGTCACTCCAGCCCCTACAGTGTGAATTTTCATCTTTCTCTGTGTGTAAACATTTATTAGTGATACTTTGTTCATTTGGATCTGGCTTTGATGTTTTGAGGTGAGGGTCATGCCTGCCTGCGGGGCTCCTTCCCACATGAGCTGGGGCTCTCCTGGGGTCCAGGCCTACCCCCCACCACAGAGTCACCAGCTCTTAGAATCCTCCTTCCCTTCTGGTATTTAACTTCTGAACTTCCCACTAATACTTCCAGATTATTATGCTGATTTTAATCTCATTTGCTACTTTGTAGACATCAGACAGGAATGCATAACTTCTCAGTGAAATTGGTATTAAAATGAAGTACGCATTTTCTTCATTGTTCCTTAAAATGAAAAAACTGAAGAAAATGCAAGTTATGAAATGTCATTTTCATTAAACATCAGTCATTGTAAAATATCACTTGATAATATTATAAATCACTTTTATGTAACATTTGTCCCTTGTAACTTAAAATTTTATCTTGAAAATAGAGATGGAAAAATCAGGTTATGTCATGTGAATATTTTTAGCATAAAGAGCTATTCAGAAACCTTTTCAGTTTTCCCGGTAGACTTAAGAGAAGCAGACTTTGTCTCCTCTCCCTGTTCTTCCCCAAACAGACACTCTCAGAATTGATTCTCTGGGATGGGGGTGCAGGGGTGGCACAGTAACCAGGGCTGTTGGGGGCAGCGGGGCCCTTGGGATGGTCGGGTTGGGCCCATGATTCATGGTGCTGCTGGGCCTCGTGCCTGACCCCTGTACCCTCTCCAGCCCCCCATGAATCCTCGTGGAGTTCAGAAATGCTCCCACACCCATCTCAACCCATGTGCTTCATTTCTTATGTTTTCTTCTCTCTAGGTGTTTTTTGACTTAATGAGGGAAATTCGAGCCAGAAAAATGGAAGACAGCAAAGAAAAGAATGGGAAAAAGAAGAGAAAAAGTTTAGCCAAGAGAATCAGAGAAAGATGCTGCATTTTATAATCACAGCCCAACTCCTTTCTTATCTTGACCATACTAATAAATATAATTTATAAGCATTGCCATTGAAGGCTCAATTGACTGAAATTACTTTAACATTTTGGAAATTGTTATGTATCACTAAAAAGCATGAATTGGAACTTCACTTGAAAGCCAAATTCACTTAGAAAGAAATTAATGTGGCTTCACCAAGAAGCAGTGTTCAGCCTTCCTCCTACTCACCCCATTGTCATGTCCTGGACGTCACTTGAGCGCGTGTCCCGGCCGGTCCTCCTCTGGACTGCCGCAGGTGAGGGCTTGGGAGGGTGGGAGAAGGTGCTTCCTCCGGGTTATGAAAAAGCTTCGATTTTATATCATTTGAAAATGTCTTGGTCTTCTACTGCCTTGAAAAAATGAGAATTGTGAACATGATAGTTAAAACTGTTACCACTTTTTTGTTGACCATTGTTATGCAAAATATAGAAGAAAAAGTTGCTGGCATGATTGTTGCATATAGTGAAAACAAGAGTAATTCATCTGTGAGCCTGCATTGTTTACCTGGCAATTAACAGAGAAAAGGGGTGTAAACTTGTACATGGAAAAGTTTGAATATGCCTTAATTCAGAAACTGAAAACTACCCGATTACATGGACCTGGGTGTGTCCTCGCCCGTGTTTCCCGGTGAGAGAGAGTACACACCTCTTGTGTGGGGTCGCCTTTGGCAGGGGGAGGAGGAGTCTAGGAAATCGCAGCTCAGAGTCTGTCCCGGCCTGCAAGCTGTGCCATACTCCTGGAGGCAGGCTCTGGAGCTACTTGAATGCTTTTTAATTAGCTAGAAGGTAGCATAAAGTGAAGAGCCAGCATCTACTTGGCAGATAATTTTAGACTCTGAGGATTCCACAGCAGTTGTGTTTCCGAGTCCTTTTCCTTTGAAGATGCTGGTCCCCAGAAACCACTTTGTTCAAGTGGTGAATGTGTTGAGTTTTTCTGTCTCTTTGGAGCCGGGCCCAGGAAAAAAACTATCAAAAAAACTGCCTTCTACTCTAGAACAGTTAGTGCTTACAAGTCTCCACATTTATATTTATGGCGTTGTAGTTGGGTGATGTGGGAGCTATTTTGGAGAATTTGTAGTCTGTGTTCGTAACAAAGGACACGGTAGCTACATTCTTCCTAGTAACATCGAGCAGTCCATCTGAGCATGTGCAGAAGACAAGTTCTCGAGCACCAAGCGGGCAAGGCTGCTGCCCAGCATGCCTGTGGGAGTTAAACCAGTCGTGTATCCTTTCCCTCTTTGGAATGAAGCTAAGACAGTTGACTCTAAGGCTGCTCCTTTTGCTCAGTCTGAATTTCAACAAGTCAGAGGTGTGTCAGGCATTCCAGGTAAAAGGTGTATGTATGAAATGAGCAGAAATAGGCTTTTTAGGAACCCAACTCTAGATATCTCATCTGGCTTATCATGTTAAATATTTGTCCTTAAAAAGGGTTTGAGATGCTCTTTCATTTCATATTTTTCATCAGCTATGCCACGTGCAGAATTAAAGCTCCCGATGTCCCACTGGCCCTGCGGCCTGGCAGTCCCTCTGTGGACTCATCACAGTCTTATTTAACCAGGGGTCCTAACCACTAACGTGTGACTTTGCTTTGAGACCGTTCCTCTCCCGGGTACTCAGGTGCTATGAAGCCAACTGACAAAGATGCATTACATGTCTTAGGCTGATGCCGCTACCCAATTTGGTTTATTTGCAATTTGAGCCATTTAAAGACCAATAAACTTCCTTTTTTTAAAAAATGTTTGTGGTACTGTTTTATGCTTACTGTATGATGTGACACGTTCAGGTTTATCAACCTATGCCTCTTTGACTGGAGAGTCAAACAGCTATATCTTCTGAGCTTTCAGTTTGTGACTGCTTCTGTGTCATATGAGCTCTCCCAGCCCAGCCTAGGAACTGCTCCAGTAGTGTAGTGTCAAGGCTGAGGAACAGGAGAGCCCTGCGTACACAGCCAATGCCCCTGTGCTGTGATGGGTAATTACAAACGTGTATATTACTTTAAAAACACTAAAGTCTGAAACACAGAGATTCATAATCACTTTCTAACCAATATGAACCCCAGAGATCATTTATTTCCAAATTGTACCAGGAATGGCCACCTGGTTCAAATTTCCCCACGCTTCAGTCCATTCCCCTCATGGTGTCCTGAGAAGCAGTGGTGAGTGAAGTGCCTCAGCCCAGGACTCAGACTGTCTCGGGCCCAGTGTTGAACGGTCTTTCGAAGTCTAGCTCATTTTAATGTCGTAACTCATAGGCTGTGCCAGAATGCATTTAAGTTATAATCGGCATATTTTAGCCTAATGATTTGAAAATGTACATATACCAAACAATGCATAGAGATCTCCAAGGCAGAATGTCTTGTCTCATTAGTTTACTACTGCAAGTGAGCATCTCTCTTCATGCCTGAGTGCTTCAGCTCTCACTCAGCCTGTGACAGTGCTCCCGCCTGCATGACCCACACCCAGCACAGGGCCAAGTGCTCCCTGTCCCTCCCCCAGCACAGGGTCACAGTGCTCCCTGTCCCTCCCCCAGCACAGGGTCATAGTACTAGCCTCTCCCTGCCCCTCACTCACCACTCTAGCTTTCTCTCAGTCTAAGAGTTGGTGGTGGTCAGTTTTGCCAGTTTGTTATATTCCATGTATGACTGAAACCATCATCTGGCTAATTGGCTTTCGGTTTCTTACATAGTCACTAGAAGTTCTGACCATTTTTGGTCCCATGTGGCACAATTTTGTCTTTGCTTTAGAGCAGAGTAGTGTGGGCCAGAGAGAGAAGGCAGCAGGGAAGGCGTTTAGCACCTTGCATGTGGCCAACCCATGCTCACATAAATGCTTCCCCCGAGCCATCCAGGAGTAAGCCCTGAGCCTTACCGAGATGTGGCCCCAAAACCAAAAAGTGTAAGAATGTGAAATTAATGTTTGTCAGCCTCCTGTTAACATTTTTGTAACACTTCCAAAGCAGCCCTTTTTCTTCAGTCCAGAGTCAGAAGTCAGGGAAATGACTGCACGGGCCCGGAGTCATGGGCGCAAAGAGGTCTGGCCACTCCTGAGAGGAATAGAGGTTGGGGGCAAACCTGAATTAGGGGCGAGTAAACACTGAAGAAAGGGTACCTGTGCATAGGAGAGGAAACTCAGAGTACCAGTGGACAGGGGAGATGGGCTCAGTTGCTCTGCTCTGCATGTGGAGACTGAGGGACTTGATCCCTGGCAGTGCTGGGAGAAGCTTTCCAGGTGGGATTCAAAAGCAAAAACGTTAGAGATTAAGTCTAGGCCTCCTCACTCTGGGCTAGGCCTTGTATATTTTTAATTTTTAAAGTATTTTTTAAATTTTAATTTTAAAAAAATTGAAATTTTTAAATATCAGCCCATATAATTATAACCAAAGCATAGTTCACCTAATAAAAATGGCATTTACAATGCCATTTTATTTAGTGCCCTTTGTGGCAGATGCACTCGTTGGTCTGTATTTTGTGAATGGAAAAGCAGAGCTGGGCAGGGAAGGAACCCGCACTGTGAGCTCACTGCAGTGCTGGTGGTCTTTAGTGAGGGTTGGATTGAACGTGATCCAAGGGCCTCCAGGCCAACGCTCTTGGTGGCTGCACAGCGAGGACGCCGGTTAACTGGACCTTCCCAGGTGGGAACAATCAGAACTGACTGAGCAGATGCTTGGTGATCATCTCCAGGAGACTGGCAGGGGTTGCTCTGGAGGTGGAGGCCTGGTGCTTGCAGCACGGTTGCTAAGAGAAAGATCAAGTGCTGGGAGGCAGAATCTTATTAGAGCTCAACCGTAAAGTCGGGCCTTCCCACACTTCCCTAGAACATCAGTGGGGACAGTGTTTCCTGGCAGGCCTGAAGCTTTCTTTCCATGTTGTTGTTGTTGTTGTTTTGTTTTTGTTTTTAATTCGAACTGCAGAGTAATTCCTCAGTCCTTTGCCCAGGCTTGGCCACAGCAGGTTGGGCGGGGCAGGGGCCACAGAGGGGGCCAAGGGTTAGGCCTTCTGTCTCTCAGGCTCTACACCAGAGCTTCCGGAAATGCACTGAGCTGGTAGCATCCTACATTTTAGTAAGTGAGGCTGCCTGGGAGTGTGCTAGGCTAAGCTGATGGAACAGAATGGCTTTCATCAAAAACTCAAGGAGAACGGTCAGAGTGCTTAGGACTAACAGCATCCGGCAAAGAGCAGAACCTGTGAACTAAGTAAAAAGAATCAAGAAAGGTCGACCTGGAAGGGAAAGAAAGTCTGAGGGCTACGGGGAGCTGGTCCCTGAGGGAAGCACAGGAAGACTTGCTGTGAAAGTGTGGGCGTTCCCGTGCCATCTTGTTTATAAACCGCCCTGTGAAGGACGACATTTGCAGGGAGTTGTTTTCCTAGAATCCCAGAAGTTGAATTAGGAGGCACCTTCAAAGCTTTTCCCTCTGTTAACATAAGATCAGAAAAGAGAAATCATTTGAAAAAGCTGCTGGAGGGGTGGATGGGTGGGGACGACGACTCAGAAATGAAACTCAGTAGCAAAGCACACAAGCAGCAGAAAATCCCACAAGTGAAGAGGCCAGAAAGGTAGCTCAGTGAGTAGAGCACATTCTGCGCACAGGAGGCCAGGCGTGCTCTGGCACGGCCAGGAGTAGCTCCCAAACATCAGGCAAAGAAGCGCTAAAAAGAAGCAGGTTGTAGCCATGGCTGTGTGGGAGGAGGTGGAGTTGTAAGACACAACTAAGGGTGCTGAGGGTGCTTTAACTGAATATAGCACCCGGAAACTAAGTCTCCAGGGGACCCGGGATGGGCGCATCCCTGTCACCGGCCTTAAGGAGCTCCCACAAAGTTCAGGTTGATTATCAGCTAGCACAGGCAGTCACACCAAGTGCTGGCTAATAGCAGGAACCCCGAGGACTGGTTCTGACCAGGCCTGGCCTGGTGCATGGGAAGCCAGGCAGGCCACGGTTTTGTTTTACAGATGTGTGCAGCTCCATTTTAAAAAGTTTACATCTCATTTCCTTCCCTTTGATCTTGTTCAGATGCTGGGGAGCAGACACATTTGACTGTGTTACAGGCTCTAGGCTCTTCCGCTCTCAGGAAAGTTATGGTCAGGAGAGAGACCAGGGGTAAGAGGGTATGCTCAAGTCAGATCCACCTGGGTCCCACCCCTGGAACTGCATATGGTTCCCTGAGCATCAGTTGGAGTAACCGCTGAGCACGGAGTCAGGAGTAAGACCTGAGCACCACTGGGTGTGACCCAAAACCAAAATAAAAAAATACGTGAGGCAAGAACTCCCCACAGCACCCACCAACAAAGTTTATTGCAGGGAGCTAATTTCCTGGATTCCCTATGGTCTCAGTCTGCACGTGGGGCTTTTTGTTTTTGTTTTTGGTGTTTTTGTAGTTCTTTTGTCTTTGTCCCACACCCAGTGGTGCTCAGGGCTTACTCCTGGCTCTGCACTGAGACATCACTCCTGGCACGCAGGGAACCATATGGGATGCTGGGGATCAAACCTTGGTCCACCATGTTCAAGGCAAGTGCCCTGCCTGCTATACTATCGCTCCGGCCCTACACGTGGGTTTTATCTGCACCTAGCTAAGAACAGCCCAGTGAGTGCAGGGGGTTGGGGGAGAGGGCTGCTCTGTAAGCTTTGGTAAGTTCCTGGGGAGCTGGTCTTAATGATTTGTTGCAAGGCTAGACTCATTGATTCTATATTGGGTGTATGCAAGGGCATTTTTCCTCATAACAGTAGGGCCCCTCTCCTTGAGCAGAAATAGTGCAGGGATCAGGAAAAGTGCACTCTTTTTGCCTGCAGCTGACCCCACTCCGATCCCTAGCACCCCATATGGTTCCCTGAATAATGTCAGGAGTTAATCCTGGGTACAGACCCAGGAGTAAGCCCTTAGAACTGCCAGGTGTGACCTGAAATCAAAAAAGGAAAAGGAAAGAGGTCAGAACGTTGTAGAAATAGGAATCCTCCCAAAAGCTTTTATGAGGAAAACATTGCCCTGATACCAAAGCAGAGACAGCATACACACACACACACACACACACACACACACACATTATAAACATGTAACCCTAATGAACATAGATGCAAAGACCCCTCAACAAAGTATAAACAAACTAAATCCAATGGTTGATCAAAAGTATTATACCCCATGACCAAGTAGGATTCATCCCAAGGATACACGGATGATTTAATATATGCAAGTCGATTAACATAATAGACCATATCAGTACAAGATATTAATAGATGTAGAAAAAACATTTGACAAGATCCACTACCTATTCATGATAAAAACTCTCAATGAGATTGAAGGATTGATTCCTCAACATAGTTAAAACTGTTTACCATAAGCCCACAAGCATCATACTCAATGAAAGCCTGAAAGCCTTCCCTCCAAAATCATGTGCAATAAAAGACTGCCCATGGGAACACTGGTGCTGGGAAATGTACACTGGTGGAGGGATGGGTGTTGGAACACTGTATGACTGAAACCCAATCATGAACAGCTTTGTAATGGTCTATCCCACAGTGATTCAATTAAATAGTTTTTTTTTAAAAAAAAAAAAAAGGCTCCCCACTCTCACCAGTACTATTCAATCTATTCAATATAGTATTGGAACTCCTCACCACAGTCATGGCAATTGCTTTCTTAGGCCAGAAAGAGATTAACAGCATCCAGATAGGAAAAGAAGTCAGCTTCTCACTATTTGCAAATGACATGCTACTATATTTAAAGATATCACA